TTTCCTTGACTCTGCTGATGAAGTCCCCAATTCCTGTGTTTTAGTGACTTCAATTGGCAGAGAACCCTCCTGCTAGAGATCCCTGCCCCATGCTGCGGAGGAAGGCGAAAAACCTCCAGGGCCTCAGCCAATCTACCCTGGAGGAAAATTCCTTCCCGACCCCAAATATGGCGATCAGTAAGACCCCGAGCATGTAGGCAAGAGTCTCCAGCCTAACCCTTGTTAGCCATTATACTGTTTGCCTACCATTGCTTGGTATTCCTCAGCTAATATGTTTTACCATTAAACCATTCCCTCCATAAACTTGTCTAACTTAATCTTAAAACCAGACAGGTCCCTCGCTGATTGATTAGACATCCCAAGCACAGTATATGCAGGTATTGATAGGATGTAATGCTCTGTGGGAGTCTTGTCAACTGGAAAAATTCAATATACAGTATCCCTTTGTTTTAATAAACCCATAACATTAATTGTAATGAGATAAACATACAGTTGTGGTCTCTGAGATTAATCCCACAAGTGTAAAGCTGTCCTTAACCAATAAGGGGCCTGATAAATTGCAGGCTAAAAGAGAGCTAGCCTCTCTGGGGACCAAAAATGAAGACTCTTGCAAAATCAAAGACGTTTTTACCAATGTCAGCTCACCACACAGCAATTTAAGTTACATTTCAGAATAGTTCTTTATTTATTAGGAGTTCTGCATAATGAAGCAGGGCCATATACACACAGACTACATAGACATTAGTGGTGATTGAACCCTGGATCTTGCAGCAGGAAAAGCAAAAGACGCACCTTATCACTTGAGCCAAAGGAATAATTACTTCAGCTATATCAGGGTTTTAAGAACAGCAGCTAGAGATATGATCATTGGATTATATGGATGTTGTTTTAGAAAAGGCTAGACCCCAATGTATTATATGCATGTGCTCTTAGAAAAGGCTTTCCTCAGTGTCTATAGGTCCACAAAGTGTAAGTCCCATCGGTGGTAATGAACCATGACCACATATATATTTATCGAGACTACATTGTTATCAGCAGTGATCTAACCTTGGACTTGGAGTGCCTAAAGCACAAATCACTAACATTTGAGCTAAATGTGCAAGTATCTTAAACTGTGAGTACCAGGTTGTCATCATTACTAAAATAAGCCAGTAGAGGGAGACATGATCACATGAAGTAAGCCAGTAAATTACATTTCCTTTGGATGTCAAATAGCCTGGCAG